ACTATATAGAAAGAACTTATAACACGTAGTCCCCAAAGTGTCGGGTCTCAAAAGTAGTCTGACAGATACAGATGAAGACAAATGAAATTGTTATAATAATTTTCTTGTTAATGGCCGCCGGAACTCTTCAGCTCATCGACACAGACAGGAGATGCTTTGCGTCTTCCTCGGTGATGCTCTCCCAGCGGCTTCACTGCTTCTGCTCTTGCTCGTCTTGCTCCCTACAGTCTAATCAAATGTCGCCTCCAATGAAAGAGACACATCATTAACTAACCACACTATATGGTAGAAAAAGCCTTGTTCAAATCCAGCACATTTACTGTGTGGTGTTCCCTTAAGATACAGATGCAGGTTGATGCTATCAGAGCTCACAGTTTGACAACTCTAGCCTCAGTTGCTCAGCACAATATCACAGCCATTACGAGCACAAAACCCTTTTTATAGGCTTCTCATTTCACATTGTTGCAAAAATGTCAAATGCTTCAATCGGTGAATGTGCCACCATTATCATTTTAAGCTTAATTGCTATGCAAGTGTACAAAAAAAGGAACAAAAACACCCAAATACTTGCCTCTAATGTGAGAAAAACATTCACTGACCACTTTATTAATTACAACTGTGAAATCTAATGCAATCCAAAAGAACACTTGTGCCGTTAATTCTGCTTTTAAGGAGATTACACATTTTCAGCTTTTGTTGATATTGTCCAAAAGGTGATAATTCCACCTTGTGTTTATTACTGAGGTGACAGTGGGTGGTGGTGGCGTACTGGACTACATTACATTTAACCCTCTGATCCCAAAACAATGTCTGTTTATTTGCTCCTGTCATATTTTTTTTACTCTCTGTGGGTTGATTTTTTCTTTTACTGCAATATTAAGTCCTGCACCTCTGTGGAAACAGGCACAACCATGACAAGCAGGAGAGAAAACTCTTTTGTGCAGTTTAACAAAGTTAAAGTTATATAAGTACAGATGTTTTACTATTACAGCCTGCAGTTTAGCCCACACTAGCTGAAAAGTCCCTGAATGACTGTAGCGGCTGAGTCACTAATTGCTTCATTATTACATGGAAGAATTTTACAGAGTTACAGAATAAAACATTCCTAATTCTCTTCTATTAATAATAGAAATTAATTATTATTATTAATGACATTTTAACCTTAGATTTTTGTT